AGTGCTGTCTTGTGGAATTTAGCTATCCATCCATCCATCCCCCCCCCCATCCATCCATCCATCCATCCATCCAATGTACAATTGAGAGCCCCTACTGAGCACAGACAGGCTAGCCATCAACAAAACCTGTCCCCTCCCTTGAGTGTGCCAGTCATAGTCCAACAGGAAAGAAGTGACATCCCAAACAATCATTCGAGGTGGGTTGCCGACTAAGGGACCATTTCCAGCGACAGGGTGTGGGGGACCCGCAGGGATGGCTGGCGGCACCGCATGGCCCCCTGGGCAGGGCCTGCAGTGGCGGACAGCCCGCCAGGGGCAGCACCACCCTCCCTCCCCCTCTCCCCTCCCTCACTTTGCCTGGGGCACCTCCTTGGCTGAATGGCCCAAAGCCCAAGAGGCAGGTGTCCGTTCTCGGTGGACCATGGAGAGATGAGGAAGGTGGCGGGAGAGGAGCCACTGACCTGACATCCTACGCGCAGGGGCGAGGCGCTGGGTCACAGAGGAGGGGTCGTCAGCTCCTGGGAGTCGGAGACCTCGGGGAGGTCAGCACCGAGCCCCGAAGGAGGAACAAGAGGTGGCACATGTGGGCGGTAGGAACCAGGAGAGGGGCTCCCACCCGGTGGGATGCAGGACTGGACGCCGCCACAGCCTGGGACCAGGAGGTCGGCTGGACCCGCCTTGGAATGAGCGTTGGGCTGTGGGCAGTGGGCAGTGAGTTGTGGGCGGTGGGCTGTGGGCGGTGAGTTGTGGGCTGTGGGCAGTGAGTTGTGGGCGGTGGGGAGTGGGCCGTGGGCTGTGGGCAGTAAGCTGTGGGCCGTGGGCAGTGGGCCGTGGGCTGTGGGCGGTGAGTTGTGGGCGGTGGGCAGTGAGCTGTGGGCAGTGTCAAGGCACCGATGGTATTTTACAAAATAATAACGTGTATTGATTTTTCCTATCTCATAAGTAATCCTTTTATTAGACAACCTTTAGAAATGGCTCAACGTGGAAAAGAAAATAGAAATCTCTCGAAGCAACCGTGGCCAGCCGTCTGCTCTCTGCCTCCCAGGCCTTTCTCCGTAAACACGGCCTCAGCCAGACCTGAAGGAACCTGTGCCCCCTGGCGGGTGCCGGGCGGTGCCAGAGCAGGGGACCCGCCTGGTGTGCGGGCCGAGGGGGAAGGGGACGAGGACGCATGTTTGAGTCAGGGGGGTCTCGCTCCCAGGGGACCCATGGGCGTGGCCAGCACCGTGGCCAGCTCTCCCGGGACCTGTGGGTGGGGGTGGGTGGGGGTGATGGAGATGGGGGGCCAGTCCTCTCCGCACCTTTATCACAGGGTCTTTCTGCTCTACCACCTGGGAGGTCTTTACATTTTTTTTAAAATTGAAAACAATGAGCCCTCGAGGGTGTGGCTCGATGGATAGAGTGTCGGCCTGGGGACTGAGGGGTCCCGGGTTCGATTCCAGTCAAGGGCACAGGCCCGGGTTGTGGGCTCCATCCCCAGTGTGGGGCGTGCAGGAGGCAGCCGATCAGTGATTCTCTCATCATTGATGTTTCTCTCTCTCTCCCTCTCCCTTCTGCTCTGAAATCAATAAAAACATATTTTTAAAAAGACACAGACCTGCTCCGCCCCCACAGAGCTCTCCCCAGGCCTCCCTGTGGGCACCTGCCCCCATCCCTGCCCCCAGCACCACAGCTCATCCTCACTGTCGCTGAGAGAATGTGAGGTCAGTGGAGTCATCGCTGTAGAGCCTCCGTGAAGGCCTCGAGGGCACCAGCTGCTGTCCGTCAACAGCCTCTCCTCTCGGGCGGAGCAGCAGGCCCGCACAGGTGGTGGCCTGTGCTGTGATTGTCCTGTTGAGGGACATCTGGGTTGCTTCCGGTTTGGAGCCACTACAGACACAGCTGCTGTGAAAACCCACGCAGGAGTTTCCGTGTGCACTTACGTGTTCCTTCCTCTGGGACCCACGGTGGGAGCATGATTGCTGGGCGTGTGGCGCGTGTGGGGAGCACGGGAGGGAACGATGCTACGGTTCCCGAGGGGCTCCCAGGCCCACCAGTGAGGACGCGGGACAGACGTCCCCGCACCCTCACCAACACTCCGTGTCGTACCTTTCGCTTTAAATTTACTTCAGGGAGAGGAAGGGGATCAAGCCCACAACCCGGGCTTGTGCCCTTGACCAGGAATCGAACCCTGACCTCCTTGGTTCATGGGTCGACACTCAACCACGGAGGCTGCCGGCCGGGTGCAACTCCCTTCTTTTATTGATAATTTAGGCCGTTTACGTTGGGAGCGATTACTGAGGTTACGACTCAGGCTGACACTGGGCTGTTCGTCTTCTGTTCCGTTTCTTATTCTTCTGCGTCCTCTGTGCTGCCTTACGATGTGCGACCGGAACGTCATTGTGAGTCCATTTTGGTCGATTTACAGTGTTTTGGAGTATATCTCACTGAAGAATTTCTAGTTCCAGATATTACAATATACGTTCGGAACGTGTCAGAGTCTACTGGTGTCTACGTTTCACCGCCTCGAAGGGACCGACAGGGTTAGTCTGCACGAGGCCACTCC